GTAATGCTACAAAATGAACGAAACTCAAGATAAAATACCACAATAAATTTAAAACCGTCTTGACAAACGGAAATTGTTAGTTATTTTTGGGCAAAACACAAACATGAAACATACACACGGCTAAGATTATGTCTTATCAAGTCTTGTCCGCTCATATTCTGCAAAGGGGAAAAGGCCTTAAAAAGTTGACTACCAAGGGAGAGAACAGCAGTGGTGAGGACCTGTGTGACTACTGCATCAGAGCCGTAAATTACACTCTGCACTATCTGAGATTGTCTCTGAGGAAATTAAACTGGGCTGCTTAATGGGAACGGGCTTCTTTATTGGGATAGGGTGCTGTACCATCCCCTTCTTCTTCGCGTTTTTTGCAGCCTGGTCCCTACCCCCTCCCCATTTACTCCTGCAACGTTGGCTTACGCGAATCCGTACGTAGTAAAAATTATTTTGTGATATGAAATCACCAAGAAATTAAAGATACCACAAGTCCTGAACGCAATGACCCAAAACAGTTGGATTTAATTCAAATATATATTAACACTCTAATGCAACACATACTCTACCTTTCAAAGTTATGGGTGTGGCCTACTCCAAAGAAGCACAGGATCATTTAGAGGCGGCCTATGATCATTTGTACATTGCAAAAGAAATTGTTTATTCCAAACTGTTTCCAGAGCCTGAAAATGCTCATGACAACAAAGCAATTATTGCTGTCAATTAAGTATAATGATGATTGGTGTAAGGTTGGTTATATTGCTGCCACACTAGCCAAATATCTACATGCAGTGTGGTCTGATGGCTTGGATTTTGAAGTCACTGTAAAGCATATAAAATTTAGAACTAGTTATCTGAAAGTAGGTTTTATATCACTATTAACCTAACCAGGAAGGGAGAATGGGACCCTGAAGCGATCAGAGCTGCCAAGAAAGTTCAGTGAATAGCTTTGTGACAGTTATACTCTAGACTAAGAGAGATTCCTATATTAAAGTTGTCGTAATGTAAAAAATGGACAGCCATTCTGTACGACCTCCGTTTTGTCAAACACCACAAAAATGGTTATTGTTGACATGTACATTAAAATAATGTAAGAATATAAGGACTGCAACGAAATCACATAGCAAAAACAAAAAATTCAGCTTACTATAGTTCTTTATTTCATGTGTACAGTAGAACCCCACTTATTCTAACCACTCTGAAACTTGAACTTGTAAACTTGGCATTTACTCACAGAACAGTGTTTACACCAGAAAGTGCAGCAAAAGGCTATTCTGCTACCGCAGTTATTTATATCAAAAATTGCTTCTTCAATAAAATGTTTATTTTCAACTTGCGAGCCAGGGTTCATATCTACCATGGGTAAATGCATTAAAAATACTACTTATTCCTTCTTATGATGGCCAATCAAACTCAGCAAGTGGGAGAGGCACAGGTGCTTGATGAAAATTGGCCCTCAGTGTCACAGTTAGTTGGTTTTTCTGAGGCAGTGAAGCTCTGTGAGCTACAAACACTCCAGGGTCCCATCATCTAGACAGAGTCACTCTGTCAAGGCGTTCTACCGCCTCTTTGGATGGCTCATTGAAGGATGACAATGGAAAGTCCCTATAATGTGTCTGGGTTCCAGTCAAATAATAAAAAGACAAACTGGGGTCACTCTTCTTGGAAAACTCGTTCATTATTTTGGAGAATTCATCATAAAATTCCTTCGTGTCAAAAACGACATCAATCACCTCATGAAAAAGGGCAATTATCCCTTCAACATCATCTGTTGAGGAAGCCCTTGGGTGTTCAAGGGGCAAATCTCTCTTGGTGTATTCCTCTCTACCTTGCTGGTGTGTTTCCAGATTAGCTACTAAACCAACAATGATCTCTCTGGTCATACCACATATTCCCTTGATTGGCCTGCAAAATCTAAGAAAAGCACAGCAAACATTATGACTTTTTTGCCAATAATACAGTATAGCATTTTGTTGACATGGCAATGTTTTCATGGAACCACACATTGGTTTTTGTTCTGTTCTTCAATCAACCAAAGAAATTCCATTATCCCAGAGTCTCTACCTGCAACCAACCACCACCAAAGAGCCAGAAAAATTTGAGGCCCAAGATTGAGAGTAATTCAACAAGTGGCCCCTCGCACATAAGTGTCCTTTAAAATAAGCATACTAAATTTGAAGTTGCAAGTTGTAAGTACATGCATGTAGGGCATAATACCTGTTCATGTCAATAGTGGAGTAGTCATGATGCTGATCCAGATATGACATCCAGTCTTTAAGCAGCCATGCCATCATATCTTTGCAATACTGTGCCTGGGTTTCCTCACTGAGACCACGTCCATCAACCGCCTTGTACCAGCTATAAATGATGGAAAGTATCTTTGCCTCAGCATGATGACAATTCTCCATAAAGCTGATCACCCCTTTGGTTATTAACCGCTCACAATCATGAACAGACTGTTTGTTTTTGTCTGTTAGTGCCTCATATGTCAAGCCAGTATCTGTAATTGATTAAATAACAAAGAATCTGAGTAAATGACAATAGAACCTTGCAGTATCTCGAGCCTAAGTTTTGTCCCAGGATCTAATACACAGCTTGGTTTTTGTTCATCTATAAGCAGAGCTATTTCTTATTATAAGTAGGCTTGTTCTCAACTCTTTCACCAGAGGTTTGCCAAGTAAAAGCCACGAAACATCGTGATAGCAAGTCTAATTATTGGAATCCTTTTACATTCACAAATATAATAAATAACAAGCATTAATTTTGTCCTCAAATGCAGCTTCCTTTAACTCCTGGGAGTTTGCGCAACCAGTCACAGGCCACTGAAATTCAGGACAAGGTTATTCTGTATTAGTATCACCCAACTAGTGGACTAATGCAAATCCTGCATTTTAATTGGCTACGCTAAGTAATAGTCCTCGAGTAGTGAAATTGGCGCAATCAAGCGTGACCCTTTCTTTCATTTTATTCCCAAATAAATATTTCTTCAACTTGCATTATTGCTAACTTTATTATTGCCTTTTCTGTCCGACTAGTTGGGTGATACTAAAACAATTAGACCCTTCGCCCTCAAGGGCCACCGGTCAATAGCGCATTCGGCTTTGCCTCATGGGCTATTGACCCATAGCCCTTGCGGGCTACGGGTCTAATTGTGAAATATATCAGATATGGGCACTACATATAATCATGTGACTTGGATTCAAACCTGGATCATGGAGGGCATCCCTTAGAAATTTAACTTGGAATCCAGGAATTGACCCTTCTCTGAAACAGCCAACAATTCTTTTGAGCAAATGGTTATGGTCCTCCTGCTGGTGAAGTTTCTCCTAGGTGTCAGCATCAACCTCAGGTACAACCAGGCTGTTTCTGAACTCAATTCCTTTTTCTGCTTGAAACTTGATCTCATGTCTAAACAGGTAAATGGCCATAATTGACTTCAAGCACTCTGTTGCTTCCTCATCTTTTCCTGTGACAAACATTTCAAAATTAATTTTCTCATTAGAACACCTTAAACCTTACTTAAAAAAAAAAAACTTTTAAAGTTATTTGCAATGGTTATTTACAGGTTGAGCAGGAGAGTGGGCATGAGAAGTATTGATCATTATATTGATCAGATACTTCTTGCTCCTGTGCAATTTAAAGCCTAATAACATATATTATTTAGTATCCTACTTTGTTCATGTTGCTAATTTATTTCAATCATGTACATCATTACATGGGTTTACATTAAATGAAGTAAACATTTTTAGTTCTGCAATCACCTTCAACTGAAGTGCATGGCTCAACAGCCTTCTGGAAACATCTTCTTTTGTAGAAGAAGGATGGCCTCCTCAAAGGGAATGCCTTCATTCATAACGGTTTCTTGTGACCACAGCACATCACCAAGTGGAACAGCCAGATGGCACTCCACAGGAATACCTACAAGTTATAATTGAAGCAATTTGTTAATTAGTGAGACAATCTCAGATAGTGCAGAGTGCAATTGATAGCTCTGGCATGGTAGTGCAATAAATACTCACCCCTGCTTGGTTCACTTGGTAGTCTGCTAGGGCTTTCCCCTTAGCAGTGCGTACGTTTCAAGGTTGTAATTTCATTAATTTTAAGGTCCAAAAATTATGTATGCAATTACTGTTTTTCACGACAACTTAATTAAATTTTACTCTGGTGTTTTACAATGATTTCCATTCATTTTAAATTCAATAATATGTTGAACAAACGTGACAATTTAGCTCTTCGTGCCAACTTTGTAACTGGATACTTTTGTTTTCCTCGCAAAGGCATGTAACATGAAACTCTTGTTTTCTCCGAAACACAGGGAAGATGAGTTTGTTTTGGGGGGATAAATGAAAGAAAGTTAAATATCTGACGAAGAAATGGAAGAGGAACAATTTTGCTTTTTCTCAAAACACAAATTTTCTTATCACAGATGAACAAGATCTAATTTGATTATCAGATTTAAAGTCATGCAATACTACTTTCTTTTTCTGTTGCCACCTTTGTTGTTAACAATAAAACAATTCAAAATTAATACACAACGATATCGATTGATACAACTGGGAAGCGTTTCAATGAGAAGTACTGAAGGTAAACAGCACTACTTGGCCGATATTATCCTGCATCGGTGAACGAGTCTCTTCAAAGACTGATTAAATTAATTTGCGCTTTCATTAGGTATCACAGAGTCTGCAGCAATATTTAAGCACTTTCCTGGTTTCTTTTGTCACAAATTTACAATTTGCAGAATATAAAAGCCACTAACTTGGGGACGTTTTGGTCTCTCTTACAGATGCAATTAAGGCAAGAAATAAATAAGGCGCTAATGAGAAACTTTCCCTTCTTTATTTAAACCCTGGCAAACATACTACTTTAGTTTGAAAACAGCAGATGATATTTGTTGAACTGACCTGTGGGTAATTCTAAACTATACATTTCACTTTTACACTAAAAAGGGACAAGTGGCGCTACCTGACATTACATGACATATAAAAAACCGCGTGGAAACATAGTATATCACACTTATGATGCTAGTTCGCATGCCTCTAACATGTTGGGTTCTACCATAGGGAAAACCACTCAACATTTGTGTGTTATCCCGTATGCAATGTATCCTCCACCTAATGTATAGAAGACATGAACGCTAACTAATCTGCACGTGCATTTAGGGCAAATTGGTTTTGTTTTTAAGAGAACAGTACCACAAGGAAAGCAAGGGGTTACTTGAAACAAATATATAGCTTTGCCATGTCTATTCCTAACTGACGTAGATGTAACATGTTTTACATAGGGCACACATGTACCTTTCCCACCTCACCCCAACCACTTCCTTGTCTCTAGACTAATTAAAATTAATTAAAATTAATTAATCAAACAAACATTAAAGTTAACACCTTAGCGCCATGGTGCATAGTGCCTTAGTGGCTTAGCGGCAGGCAGACCCCAAAACAATCCCAATAGTGCACAAATACACTTTTTTTACAATTTAACAGCGATAATAAATTGGCGCATGTATTATGTATGATCACAGAAAATATGAACAGCAACGTAATGTGAAATGTTATGTCAGAGAAATACCTGCGCATTTAGTCTCAAATATTTTGCAACCTTTGCCACTGGTATTGATTTTGCCTTCTGCCTTGCATCACTTATTGGTTGAACAATGGAAATTAAGGACACTCACTGCCCATGGTGCGGAGATCATCATCAGTAACAAATCCTTAAAACAAGGCAAAAATGGCAAGAAAACCTGAGTGAAAGACCAGGTAATGAGGGCATCTTTAGCACATGGGTTGGATGTTTGAATCAGTGAGCCACATGCAGAATCCTTTAACATATGTATTGTATCTGCACCTGTTACAGATATGAGAAAACAAAGAACTATTGTTATCTAGTGATCTTGGAGCCTTGCTCCAAGATCACTAGATAACAATAACAACAACAACAACAACACCAACCACAATAACAATAACAGTTACAATAACATTAAGAAATTAATACTTTCAGTTGGTGAATTTACCGGGAAATGTTTGAATTCGTAAGACACCTGGTCTCCATTTTGCTAACCTGTGTCACAGCCGCCTCTCTACGATTTTTTTTTCCGGGGAGAGGCCGCTGTGACACAGGCTATACATTTTGCTTAAGGACGGTGCCTGCTAAATACAAAGGTTTTGCACCAGGGTAGGACCACGAGGCAACAGTAGATCTTTACAAGGGCTATAGATTGTTTTCACTGTCACACAATAAAAAATGAATCGAAAACCATCCAGTGGAAAAAGCTATGAAATTGTGATGTTATAGAAGATAACTAAATAAGACACTAATCTCCAAGTTTTAGGCCTGTGCATTTCCCCAAACTTCAGGCATTTGTCGCAATGTTTCGCAGATATTTCCAGAGCCCAGTATGAAAGCGCCATGTTGATGTACTTCCGTGATACACCAATATGGTGGCCAGAAAATATTGTAAACATCTCTGGAACTTACTTTGGCTATCTAGGCGACTGATTGTCAGTACTGATTTACACAACAACTTTTCATAATTCTCTAACTTCTAAAAAGGCTCAAAATCATGAGATAAGTACACATTTTTCGACAAACTCGATCGTAGCCTTGTGTCATGCACATTGAGCTGTAAAACTGTAAACAGATATAAATATACTGCCTGTTATGCCTGATGAGGATAAAAACTTTGGTGGCTCTTTAGTTTTGGATTTTAGAAAGTGATGAAGTCAAGTGAAAACGATCTATTGGAATCCACAAAGAAAAATTGGGTTAGCCGCACATTTTTTTTGAGATAATTAGCCTTGAATCTCAACAAAAATGCTGACATCAGCAAATTTCTGAAAAAAGAAAGAAAGGATTTTTTTTTCACAGAATTTGCCTTTTCATACAAAGCAAAAGCAAACACATTTATAAAGATTTTAAAACTACATGGTAAATGGTAACAAAAAAAACATTTTTGGGTTATTTTTAATAAGAAAATAGTTGCAACAGCGCTTTTTGCGTCTCTGACAGCCTTCCTCTCGTTCAACTAAAATACAGTCTAAATACCTTTTGCTCACAACCAGAAACTAATCACATGTTGAATAGGCTTGCCACTTCCATTTTATAACGTAAAATGTGGGGTAACCACGCATTTTTTTAAGTTATTGACCTTTTTTGAAAACTATTACAGTGCCCATTACATTTTTTCCTGTCACCTCCCCAGTAGGTAAAATATTTGCATATCTCGCACTTGTTTTGCGCACACACTACACTTTCTCCAGGTACATGTTTACAGTTGGATTTC